CCGTGTAAGTCAGCTGTCTCAATTTGGAGAGCGCTGCCATTCTCCTACTCTGTATGGCCAATTAACACTTGGCCAGTGAAAGATTTGCCGTGGATTACTTAATCTGTGTTGATTGCTTAATTGCACCCAGGGGACAGGGCAAAGGAGTAACAGTGCCCAGTGTAACAGGCAGCAAACTGCAGGGAACTGGGTGCGGGCACAGCCAACTTGTGGAAGGTCCCGGCCAGCCAGTGCTGAGGACCGGCTGGGCTCTCGCTAAGGGCCCACGCTTCAGCAGGGGCTCGCGGATGAGCAGTCCCTGGATTTGCCCCTCCGCAGTGTGACTGCCCCCGCGTCTCCATCTGCTCAGGCAGCCGCGATGGGGAGAAGGGCGAGCAGTACGGGCCCCTGCCTTGTCACTCACGGAGACTGCCGGCCAGGTTGCGACCATGATAAGAGCGGAAGAGGCAGAAGAAGCAAGGAAAGCTGCCCACCGAGGCAGCAAGAAAGCGGAAACACTCAGGGAGGCCCTGTCAACATTCTGGAGCATTTAATTAAAACATTTCAACCCCGTCCTTTGCACAAGCCTCGGGACAGCTTACAAAAATAATTAATAATATAAAATACAATTAAAACATTCAATAATAACATTCAATAATAACAACTCAAAACATTCAATAATAACATTCAATAATAACAACTCAAAACATTCAATAATAACAACTCAGAAATAACAATGTTAACCATTCAAAGCTAAAGAGAAAAAGGGTTTCTATGAACATGAACTTTGGACCAACTTGGACGGCTGCTTATCACCAGAGGAAAGAATCTTGTTGTTACCATTTACCATCCAGGACAGAACTGTGTGTTAGGGGTAGGTCTGTAATGTTCTAAAATATTTATTTATTATTATTATTTTATTTGCATTTATATACCACCCTAATATACCACCAGATGATGCTGTAAGCTCCTTTAATAATATCCAGCTCAATCTTTCTCCTCCTTTCCTTGTACCCCTTTTCTTGCTAGTAGTTCTAATGCTCTTGAAAGTTATTTTCCTGGAATGTTGGATCATAAACTCTGTACAGAAGAGACGGAATGTTTTGCGATTCTTCTGAAACTTCCAGTTTCGCTTGGTTTTCCCCTGCCTTGGCTTTCTCTTCCAGTTGCCAGCAGAACTGTTTTGCTGCTCAGCAAGGTAAGAGCATTGGACTTTATTTTGGCTTAGCTTTCTTAGCATACACTGCGTCTCTCACTGTCAGCACAATGCAATGCTTGTTTACTCAGAAGGATGTCATGTTGGATTCCATGGGATTTGCTCTGCAGGAGTTTTTGGGTTGGGCCCCAAGCAGCTGTCTGGCCTGGAAGATGAAGTGAGAGGCAGGTCTGCCCAGCAAAAGAGAAATCAGGTATGATGAGGAATCATGAGCCAGCGTTGGAACGGGGCTGAGAAGATCCAGTTTCTGGTCCCCACTCAGTCATGGTGCTCACTGAGCTACTTGGGGAGGAGGTCAGTTGCCTCGGGTTCCCCATTGTTCAGAGCTCCAGAGCCCAGGAAGACCTTGTTGGTCAAGTGAGGCTCAACTGGAACAGGAGCCCTTTCATATTCATAAGAACACAAGAAAATCCCTGCTGGATCAGACCAAAATTCCATCTAATTCAAGCACTCTGTATACATGGTAGCAAACCAGCTGCCCACAGGATCCCTCAAGCAGGATGGGTGCAAGACCGCCTCCTACCCAAGATGCTCGGCGACTGGTGTACGCAGGTGTGCCACCTCTGCTAAGGGAGGTAGCCCACTGCCAGCAAGGCGAGTAGCCAAGCACAGCCCCTCCCTCGTGGATCTGTCCAGTCCCTTTTTAGAGCCACCCAGATTGGCGTCCATCACCACTTCCCATGGCACCAAATTCCATAGTTCAAATATATACTGTGTGAAGAAGTCCTTCCTTTTATCAGTCCTAAACAGCTTCGTGGGAACATTGTCTTGCTCTCTAATTTCTCCACAACATGCATGGTTTTGAACATCTCTGTCTTGTCTCCCTGCACTCATCTCTTTCCAAAGCTCCAACTCCCCAATCATTTGTGTTGCCCTTCTCTGCACTTTTCCAAATTGATTTCTGCCTTCTTGAAAGGATCCAGGGCCAGCCTGGGGGGGTGGGGGTGGGCAGAGACAGTTCTGGGCCTGGTATTGAGAGGGTATGTGTTGTCTTGCAACAGGGTGCCATCTTGGGAGAGGCATTCCATCCCATGTGAGAGGGAGGGAGACTGACAGCTGTGGGTTTTGTAAGTACTCATGTTAAAAATAGTTTTTGGAAGAAAAATATTGTGCCTGATTGAGTGAAGGGTCCTTTGTGGCTGCGTCAAAATGTTTAACTTGATTAGTTTAATTGCCTCGTATTGAAGCCCTAAGGATGACTCCATATCATGAGAAGGCCAGACTCCCTGGAGAAGACCATCATGCTGGGGAAAGTTGGAGGCAGAAGAAAGACCAACTGGGAAATGGATCGACTCCATCAAGAAGGCCACAGCCTGGAGTTTACAGAAACTGAGCAGGGCTGTCATGAATAGGGCATTTTGGAGGGCTTTCCTCCACGGGGACACCCTGAGTCAGAGGCAACTGGATGGCACAGAAGAACAACAAAGGAAGAACAAGGAAGCCTCGAATGGAAGCCTCCAAGCTGACGCAGGCAGCAGTGGGCCCCTGGACACCTTTCTTGGTGCCCACTCCAGGGCCCATCCTTGATCTAGGTCCTACCTTTGCTTTTAATTAACACATCTCCTTACTGCCAAAGGCAATGACTGCGAAGTAGGTTTCTGCTGGAACTGAAAACTGTTCAAATGAGTTGTTTAGCATGTTGGAACTCAGATCCCACCTCTGCCTTGTTTGGTCTTTTGGAAGGTTAGTTGTCCACTGGGTACTGGTTACTTCCATGGCAGCCATTTCGTGGTGGCCCCAAGGAGAAAACACCAAATGTGCCCATGACCCCAAAGGAACCATGTCCCTGTTCCGAGCAAACATGTACAGCGAGGGTGGAAAGCTGGTTGTCTTCCAATTATTTAGGCCCATAGCAACCATGACTTGAGTTTAGCATGGTTTCTATTTGAGCTGCTCACTGTTTTGTCTTTTATCTTTACTGTGCTCTTATTCCCTTTCATAAGCACATTTTGTGTTTTCATAACATTTGATTTGGTATTTCTCGACTCCTGAGCTCCCCAGAAACCTCTCTTGATATGGGAGCCATCTAAATTGAATAAATCAAAAGAAATCAGACTTGTTGAAGGGTTTGGGATCTACTTGTGAGCAAAGGGAGTTGGGACCAGCCGGGAAGATCTACACTGACATTTGATTCGGTCAAATTTCGTCCTGTCTTCTACATCCAATATTCTCTTTTGGTGGCAGAGACAAGACTGCTCTGACTTGAAGCGGTTATCAAGGAGAAACCAGAAACAACCCAACTATCTAGACTCCCACACTAGCAGCCACCGATCCCAAATCATCCTGTTTGTCTTTTGATTTCTGTGAGAACGGAATGCAAGGCTGCTGATAATAACCGAGGGACCTGTTGCTGCAGGGAATATCGCTTGGGAGGTGGACTGGAAAACCCTAATCTCTTTCCTGCCAAAACTGGTGCTTATCTCAAAAACAAAAAAATAATGCCATTTGAGTTTACAAATGGCTCTGTGATTAATGAGTCCGGAGGGATTCTGTTGCTCAGCCGGGGAGGCGGGCAGGGTGTTGATGTCTGGTTCCAATTTTGGGGGAGAAAAAGGGAGAAAGTTTCAGGCTGAAGAAGAAAGCTAGCAGGCCAGGAATGCTCCGGGAACTTCTTGATCCCTAAAATCCCTCAAATCTTTGACAGAGGGATTCTCAGCACAGCCAACCCTGGCATGCAGTGGCCATGCTGGGAAGCCCACCCTGTCTTTGTTAGCCATGGCTGAGAATTCTGTTTCCCTTTGGTTTTGATAAACATTGACCAACATTCAGAAAGTTCTCCGTCTTTGGGAGAAGAAAACTTGAAATTTGAAAACAAACAACTGAACCAGACGGATGTATCCATCCAGGTCCACAGCTTTGGGCATTTTGATCTTAAATGCATAGTCATTATGGTGCTAAATGAGGATAGCCACTGGTCTTTCCTGGCAGGTTCCCCACCTTTAGCAGTGACCTGGCAGACAGGTGCAAGATAGGCTGCTCCATACTTGGGCCTATTAAATCTGGCCAGCTGGGAATGATTCAGATTCCCTTTAGTTTCTTTTTGATAAGCGTTGACCAAAATGCAAAGTTCTTTGCATATTGCTTAGAAAGAACTTGAGATTTGAAAGACCTCAAAGGCAGGAGAAAGCAAGTCCAATCAGTTTTCCCATCCCTAGCCTTTTTTGGTTCTGGGAAAACTTCTCAACCGAGAAAGAAAAAGAAGGATTCTTCCAGGCTGGCTGGTACTGGCACTGCCGGTCCCAAAGCATGGCAAAATTGTGCCATCTCCTTTATTTGGAAGAGTTCTTTCTTTCTGATAAAAAAACAAAAGATGGATGAAGTTTTGGGAAAACACAAGAGGATTAGGAATGGAAGAGAATGATGTCTGGACACCCGCTCCCAGTATGAATACGTACGGTGGGACAACGGTACAAGAAGGGACTTATCTGGAAGCATCCGCAGTGCCTTCCTGGGCAGAATGAGTCTGTTGTTAGACTAGCTTCTGCTGCCGAGGAGACTGGGCAGGGTTAGGAGAATTAGTCCGCTGTTACACACCTAGAATCCTTGGGCTGGACTAGAAGTCCAGCAAATAAATGGGCTTGGAACCTTAGGGTGTTATCTTATGCAATCAAAAGTCCTACCACTTCTAACATCCTCCAGCCACAAGAGGGTAGCCTTACAGATGAAAAGAGGCAGATATAATTGGATATTATTAGTAACAGTGATATAATTTGATTAAGGAGAAACCAGGGTTACAAATGCACACAGTGGCATACATAAGTTTAATTTAATTGGCGGATAAGCCAGAGGTGATACAAAACAGATATGTTTCCGGTGAGTGACTAAGGGGTGTGTTCCAGATATCGTGGGGTATCAGGGAGAGTCATTTAAGGCAGTGTGGGCAGAAGGTGGGCCTGGTTCTGTCGGGTGCTTTGCAGTGGACTGATAAAGATTCATGGTCTCCAGCGAAGAAGCAAGTGCAGTCAAACTGTTCTCCAGAAATGAAGAAAGCGTGGCTTAGCCAGGTAAGGATTTTGACATGGAAAGTCTGTGAGTTCTGCTTTCTTTGAATGCGCAAGACTGAGATCTCTTATTCTAAGTCTGTATCTTCTGCTGCAGCATTGGTGGATTTCCAAGTCCAAGCCACAAAGATCTGCAAGGTTTATGGGAGCTGGAAACTTTATGGAGGCTGAAGAAGGTAGAGGTGAGGATACCGAGGTTGTGCGACATATGGGCATTATGAGACTGACTTTTTGAAATGCCGGCGTGAACGGGGGAAAGATATGACAGACCAGGAAGCACTAGAAGAGGCTTTATAGTCAGTCCAGCGATTCATTCTTCCAGACCCATTTGACCGGCTATTCAGGCAGAGGTACGTGCGTCTTTTTATCCCTCTTTCTTTCGCTTGAGCTTTTTAACTGGCGGGACCAGGGAATGGATGGGAAACCTCCTCAAGGTCGGTTACCTGTCCTCGTCCTGGCAGAGACTCACTGAAAAGGGTGCTCCCATCCTCAGCAGCTGCGGCCTTTTTCCTGTCTAAACAGTATCCAGACTCACCAACAATTCTGTATCTGCAAGTCAGGTGAAGTTGAGGATACCAGCCACCATTTATTTTACTGCCCATCGTTTGAGTCTCCAAGATACGGATTTCTCCATCACATTCTCAGTTATCTATCAAATAAACCTTTGCAGGACCAGATTTGTATATTGCTTATAGGCACTTATACACACATACACATAGTCATCCGGGTTGCAAAATTCCCCCTGCCTGCTAGAAAAATAAGGGCTTGGCAGCACTTTGTGGTTCTATACAGATGTGTGATTTGTAATTGTGTCATTTTAAATATTACACATTTTACTATAGTTTTTAATGTCTGCAATTTTTATTATATTCCAAATGGTGTTACTATTTTTAAATTTAGGCTCTCTAGGTGGGTTACAAGACTTTTATTGTTCTTTACCATCTGTTTCTTTGGATTGTGGCTGCCTGTTATTTATTTAACACCTTTGTACACCATCTCACGGTTCTCTGTATGGTTTACATGATAAAAAATAACAAAACATAGCCTATGGCTATGAGCTATAAAGACTGACAAACCTATATAGTATTGTTCCCTAAGTGTAGGAAAAATAAAGGACACGTCTACCATCTTGTGGCTGTTACATTTCATTGCATTCTAATTGCACTTCTTTTTTTTTAAATGATCTTTGAATCAGAAAGTACAAACTGCACTTTGAAAGCCCTTAATGTTTCTGTAGAAACCATAACCAACATGCAGATTAACACATGTTTATTTTTTGATATTTATAATTATTTGATTTTTGCAATCTTTCAACAAAATCAAACATTAGCAAAAAGCCTCTGCGAATACAAAACAAGGATAGAAGCAAACACATTTACCACAAAAAGGGTGGGTGGGGTGGGGGGGGTGGGGGGAACAAGACAAGACACACAAAACATACAGCTACACAGTAACAATCAGAAATACATTGAACTGGTCTTGAAGGTATTACAAATATATAGTAAAAGTATACACATAGGTTAAAATACATACAAATATTCAAACCTCCTGTTCCATATCGCAAATACAGGTTTATTTATTCATTTTATGTATTTGGAACTTTTCTACACTGTCCCGTCGCAGATGTCTTGAGATGATTTTCCACAGGTTGAGGTAGAACGAACCGATGTCAAATGAATGTTGAGACTAAGCTGTTGCTGGTACCACATTCTCCCAAAGGATGCTAATGTTGTGAGGTGTTCAGTCCATCAAGATGATTTGTCTTTCTGTCCCCATAGTTTGAGTCTCTTGGCCACCACGAGGGCTCATGTAGTCCATTTGTGCTGGCCAGAAGATAGTTTCCAGGATGAGAGAAGGTAATTTGGCAATACTTTATTTATTTATTATTTATTAAAACATTTTTATGCCGCCCCATTCCCCGAAGCCTCGGGGCGGCTTACAACAATAAATAAAACCACATAAATTAAAACATACATATAAAATAGTAATAATAATTTAAAACACACAATATAAAATAAGCCGCCCTGGCCAGATAAAATTCAGTAGTATTAACTTCCACATCTTTGCACAAGAATGGCGTATTTAGCACAAAGCGGATGCGCCTAGCTCTTTTCTGCCATGGCGCCCAGACTCTGGAATGTGCTCCCCAGAGAGGTACGCCTGGTGCCAAGTTTATACTCTTTTCGGCACCAGGCCAAAACCTTTTTATTTAAACAGTATTTTAAAATTTAACAACTGTTAACCTTCAGTCGCTCTGTTTGTTTTGTGGTTTATTGTTTTGTTCTGCTTCCATTCTATTTCTAATAGAACAATTCTATTTCTAATAATTGTTGTTTTAATTGTTCTTTTAAATATTGTAAGCCATCCTGAGATTTTTGTATAATAGGATGTCATACAAAAGTGTTTAATAATAAATAAATAAATAAATGTAGGTGCCTTAATGGTGCTTCCGCCATCCCACCTCGCCAGCATTTATTAGAAGGTGATGGTTTAACACCCTGAATTGCTTCGGCCTTGGCGCTGGGAATCGGGGCTCCGACCTCCTTGCCCTTGGAAAGACCCACTCCAAATGCTCTCCGAAGTCAGAAAGGGGCCTCAGAGAAAGCAGAAAAGGGGGTCTTTTAGTAGCCACCTGGCACGGTCTCCTTCTGGTCACTCCCTCAGTGCTAGGTGAGCAAAGACACCTGCCAAGCGAAGTTTGCAGGACAGGAGGATGTGAAGATGAGCATCACTACCGCTGGGAGCCTTGATGTCCGAGGGTGTGAGAGCATCGAGGCCCTGAAACGCTCTCAGCTCGATTGCCGAACTCAATTTCAGAGGAGGTTCTCAGGCTTGGGGGAAAAGAGCAAAGCAAAAAAGGAGGGGGCAGAAGTGGAGCAGAAAGGGGTGGGGAGAAGCAAAGCTGTGGGGAGGAGAAAGGGGTGGTGGTGGAGGAGGAGGAGGAATAGAGGAAAGGGGTGGGGGAGGAGGGGAAGGTGGAGGAGAAGGGGGTCAGCCCAAAGGAAGAGGGAGCAGGAAAAACAGCATGGAGACTTGGAAGAAGTGGGGAGTAGGAGGCAGCTTTACAGGAGGAGTCACGGAATAGCATTTATTTATTTAATTTTTCTCCTGCCCATCCACCGAAGCACTCTGGGTGGTTTACAACAGCAACACTGAGGCCAAGATGACTATTGGTCCAACTCCTGCCCCATGCAGGACTCCAAGTTCAAGCATCCTTCTCAGAGGGCTGTCCAGCTGCATCCTGAAGGCCTACGGTGTGGGAGAGCCCACAGTCTCCCCAGGGCATGGGTTCCATTGCTGCACTGCGCTACCAGCCAGGAAGCTCTTCCTGATATCTAGCTGGAATCTAACTTCCTCTGAGTTGAGCCCGTTGTTTCATGTCCTGCACTCTGGGATGGCCGAGAAGTAACCCTGGCCTTCCTCTTAGTGACAACCTTTCAAGGACTGGCCGAGTGTTATCCTGCCCCCCTCGGTCTTCTCTTCTTGAAGCTAAACGTGTCCAGGTCTTCCAGTCTCTGGCTCATCCTCTTTGCCCTCCTCTGAACCCTTTCCAGCTTGGCTGCTTCTTTCTCCAACTGCGGTGCTCAGAACTAGAGACAGGACCCCAGATGAGGTCTGACCGGTGCAGAGTAGAGGGGAACTAGAACTTCAGGAGATTTGGAAATGATACTTCTAATAATGCCGCCTAAAAGAGCATTTCCCTTCTTGCAGCCACATCACATTGCTGACTCGTGTTCAGGTTGTGATCTTGGAACTGGCAGTCCTGAAGGAATAACCCCCCTCCCCCAGTGAGGTGCCGGCTCTTCTGGTTGGGAGCTTTGCCATGGCCAGAGCCAAGACCCTCCATCCAGCCCTGCACGGTAAGCCACTTGGAACTTTTTCTGGTTCTGCTCACCAGATGATGCCCTGGAGCTGTCCAGATCCTGACGCCATGTTGGCTTCATGGGAGAGGTAGCCCAGCAACCCTTAGGAACCCCTGTACTAAGACCTGATGCTCCAGGACTTCCTTTCCACGATCTCCAGGCATCATTCTCCAGGTCACGGGGAGAGCCGAGCTATTTTCTGCTTGACGGTAGACCTTGAGATATTTGTCCTGCTTCTTCTTTCTACCGGACACCAAGTACTTTCAGGCAATTCCACCATCCATCTGGCCATTTCTCCTGCCATAGCCAATCAGCCCCTTCAGCCCCAGAGTTTAGAGTCTGAGCCTCAGAGGACTGGGCGATCACATCAGCATCCTCCTCCTGGCCCTGGGAACAGGATTTCCAACCAGCCAGGAAACAGCCAGCCTGCATGGGCCACTGCTTGACATGGGAAGCAAAAGCTCATTTATCCACTCAGCCAGTGCCATGAGGGCAAGGGGCTGGAGGTCAGGGGACTGGAGCATGGAGTTCCAGCTTCAGCTTGGAGCTCTGTTCCCGGGACACCAAAGTGCCCTCTGCCCCTGCCTGCCAGCAGGGCAAAGAGCCAGAGAATTGCTCTTGAGGTTGGTTTGTTTTCTAGAGCAAGCTACTCTGGATGGGGTTTGCGCACCTCGCCATGCATTCAACTGGTGGTCCTTCTGTGCAGAATCAGAATCTCAGTTTTAGTGGCACCTCACGTGATACCAGTGAAGCATCTCCAGCAAAAATTAAATAATCTTTATTTTCCCTCCCCATTTTAAAATAAATGTGCATTAGAGGAGGGGAGCATTTATCCTTCCAGTATGGTAGTATTAGTCATTTAGTTTTCAAAAAGGTGGAGAGAATCCATTTAAGCTACCAATCTTTAATTTCGGAGACGCAGGTAAACAATTTAAAGGTGTATGTATGTCAGTGAATGTTAAAGACTGTTCTAGTAGCAAATTAGCTGTGAAATAACCTCCCTGCAAAAGAAGCAGCTGTTGGGCATTGTGAAAACAGATCCTTAAAAGAGGCATTATCTGGATTGCACCATCGGCAATTAGTCAAATTGAATAATCCCCTAATAAAGAGGCACTGCACTGTTGAATAGACAAGAAACGGCTGATTTTGCTGAAAAAGATTCAGCCTAAGCGAGAGGTAGGCACCAAAGTGGCAACCCACAGACAAGACATCCTGTGATCCCGGGTCGCAAACATCTCAGCACCTAAATGGGCAAATTCATTGTTGGCCTGAGGTGCTTCCAGACCGTGGCCCGATGCCGGGACACCTGGTTTCCATGCTGAGGGTCCCTAGTTCTAGCCCCAACATCTCTGGGCAGGGCTGGAAAACCCCCTGCCTGAACCCTTAGAAAATGGGGGCTGCCAGTCAGTGTTGGCAGTACTGAGTTGAATGAACCAAGGACCTGCCTCACCATGAGGAGACTTTCCATGTTTCTCCTAAGGGTTCCTTGTGTTCCCAATTAGATGGCATCGTGCAGATATTCTGTCTTTTTCTCCGAAAGGAGACTTTTGCTAACTGCCCAGAGGTAACTTCGGCTATCGGGCAGTGTGGAAATCCAGCGGGTAGACAGGAGAGGGCTCTGAGCAAAAGAGCGCTTCGTTTGGCTCCTCTGAGAATGAGTGCAATGGAAGGATACTAGCTCTTCCTGATAGAACATTGCTATTCTGTGGGGCTGCATTATTTGATGGCACATGACCTGCGAGCATAGAAGTGTCCCTCTACCAGGGCCGGCCACCTATATTTTGCCACCGGGCCTCTCTTCCGTTGCAGCTAGGAAAGCCGGCCGGACTGGCTGACAAATCTGCCCTCAACACTGACGTTGGGGCATCCTCTCCCACTGCACCTGAAGGCCACAGGCAACTCACGGGCTACAAGGCAGGCCTCTCAGTGCCCAGGCCTCCCCTCTGACACCTGCTGCCACCTCCCAGCATATGCTGCCTGGGGTGGCTGCGTCACTCGGTCTAATGGTCGGGCAGGCCCTGTGCCTACCACCGGGCTGATCCAGAACAGCTGAGTTCTGCCTGGGCACAGAAAATAATGTGATGCCAGAAAAACACTTCCTGGCATGGATGGATATATTGCTCTCCCTACACCTGTGTAGAGGAGCACAGAACGATGCCTTTTCCAGTCAGGATATTTGACCATCACATCCAGAACTGTCTACCTGGTATGGCTGGCTAGGGAACTGTGAGAGGCCAAGGAATTTTTTTCCTGCCTCAACTTTCATAGGATTGTATTTGTGGTAGACGTCGGTCCCAGCTGCTGCCTCCTTCCCTACCAGGCAGCAGAGACAGATGAATCTACCCCTTGAGTTCATCTCAGTTTCTCATTTTTCCAACCTTGAGTCCATTGCAAACTTTGTGAATTTCTCCAGGCTCAGATTTGGTTCATTCCAACTGAAAATTAAAAAAAACAACAACTTTTGCATGAAAATTCATAAGCATTTTTGCACACCATTCTCCCAATACATGCCTTTTTGGTGCAATTTACACTATATGTTGCAAACTGTTTTGTCAATATAATGCCTGTGTGACCACTCTTTTCTTTAAGATGTGCTATGGCTTGGCCAGACAACTGCAGTGCAAAATCTGGGGATCTGAGTTTGGTTTGCATAGCAGTTTGAAAGCGTGAAATGACATAAGCTTGCATTTGATGTGGATGGAACATTCCTCTTTCTCCTGCTGAACTCAGGAGGGCAGTGATGTACCAAGACAGACGGAAAAACTCTCACTCCCTCCTCCCTCAAAAGAGTCCCTGCCTTCCCTGGAACAGCTCAGACGGTTCCCTGAGGGCTTTTTGGTGTCCCTGCCATGCGCTCACATCACCCCGTCTGTGCAGCCGTGGTTCTTTCCTCCACATGTGCTGCACTTTGAATGTTAAACAGGGAAAGGGATTTAATTCAGGGCGGAGATGTAATCGACTGTGTCTTGTTTCCTCCCAGTTTAAAAAAGCACAGCTAGGTGGGTGGACAACACCCGGTTTGGACTCTAGGGGGCAGCAAGACCCCATATTTATAGACTTGGGCTTCAACTTTCCGCTTGCAAGAAGCTAAAATGCAGAGGGATGGTGTCTGTCTCGGTGATGCAGAATTAAAAATAGGAAAGGTGTTTTTGGATTAGACTTTTATCCTGTTGTTGCCCTGCCTCATTCTGGGAATTTACAGGGAGTGGTCCTGGTCCCAGAGACAGGGGAATGTGGCTCCGTGAGAGAGCCCCGTGGCACACTGAGAAAGTTCTGCATTCGGTTCCTGGCATCTCCAGGCAGGGCTGGGGGAAAATCGTATCTTACTGTCTAAAAGGCTGGCTTAGAGAGTTTGCTTCAGCATAAAACAGGTTCCGAGGCGCCTAAGGACATCTCCCGCTCACAGCCCTCCATGGGATGCTGACGGCCTCTTCCATATTGTCCTTACTCCAGGAAATCTGTTAAGGAAAAGGAAGGATGGCCCATCAGGACTGAGGTCCAATATCTGCTTTTCCGAGATTTGCTGCACAGCTCTGCCTTCCACGGTGCAAGCAGTGCAGGCAGGATCGGAAAGAGAGGATTGGGGAATCTGGGCGGGAAAGTAGGATGGGGCCTCAGTCCCCAGCCCCCTGGCCTTGTTTGAGAGCTCTGGGGGGCTCTGGAGCCCTCATCCCCAAGAGCAGGCCAGTCTGGAGCTGGGCCTCTGAGGGCCGACCCCCTCAGCCGAGGTCCCCGCTGGGCATGAAGGGGAAAAGGGGCCTGCTGGGCGTGGGGAGAGGGGGCCACTGGGGTGCTGGAATGCTGATTCCAAGTGCTGCCCCGGCCACCTTCCCTCCCCATCGCTTGTGCCAAAACCAGGCAACCAGAAATGACTGTGCAGATAAAATGCGGGGTGTGGGGCACAAAGGCTGTGGGAATGGCCTCCGGTTGCTCTGCGCCCTGCCCGGGTTGCTTGCAGCCCCCTGAGCTTTGACGTTTGCATGCATCTGCCAAGGGGAGGAAGGACTGTGCCCCTCAGGTGCAACCCCAGGCATACCTAGAGTCTTAGAATGGTAGAGTTAGAAGGGGCCATGAAGGCCATCCAGTCCAACCCCCTGCTATTGCAGGACACCCCATTACGCCATCCCACTCAGAGGGCTGTTCGGGTTCTTTTTGAACGTCTCCAGTGTGGGAGAGCCCCCCACCTCCCCAGGCAGCTGGTCCCACTGCCGTCTTGCTCTGACAGTGAGGAAGCTCTTCCTGACATCCAGCCTGAATCTGGGTTGCCGCAGCTTGAATTGATTATTCCGTGTCCTACACTCCGGCATCAGCAAGAAGCGATCTTGACCTCCCTCTTTGTGACAGCCTTCGAGGTGCTTATAGAGGGATCTCATGTCCCCCCTCAGTCTTCTCTTCTCAAGGCTGAACATGCCCAGTTCTCTCAGTCTCTCCTCACAGGGCAGCATTTCCAAACCCTGGATCATTTCTGTTGCCCTCCTCTGGACTCTTCCTGCATCTTTCTTAAATCTCGGTGCCCAGAAGTGGGCACTGGATTCCGGATCTAGGCAGAGCAAAGACCCTCCCCTCCCCCACGCCACGGCCAGAAGCACAGCATCTCGCGGAAAGCATCCACGTCCATCTCTCCCCATGCCTTTTTGTAGGGCTTCCCTGCTCCCGTTGCAGCTGCTCCATGCATCCCCTCCACCGGAGCAACCTGCCTTTCTGTGAACACAGCACTGCTGTTACCCACTCTGTGCTCATTGGATGCGGCAGGTCGGGGACCGGGGACCGGGGACCCTCGCCAGGCCTAGCAGCGTCGGTATCCCATGAGCCGCTTCGTGGAGGAAGCACATTAATTAACCGGGGAGGTGGGGAAGCGTCCAGCCCCTGGAGACTCAGGAGGGAAATAAATATGATTGGGAAGGATTAAGAGAACCATCTGGATTTATTGAAAGAGCAGGTTGCTTAGGGCTGTGCGGTGGAAGCAGGGAAGGGGGGCCCTGCTCTCCGGCTCCCACGTAGCCGAGTTGTGAAGACTTTTGTGGTAGCAGTTTTCTTACTCATCAGCCTCCACCAGAAAGCCTGGACTGTACTGAGATGGTTTTGCTTCCTGGAGCTGAAAGTGCTCCTGCCGTGAGTAAAGGGGTGGGGGTTAAAGAGCAATCCTCCCAGCCCCCCTCATACAATCTCCCCCTCTCATCCACTCACTGTACTTGCTTGTGGGGAAGTGTAGTCTGCAACAAAATATTACGCAAGTTCTGTTTCTGCTCACAAATACATTAGCCTCCCCACAGTATGGGTCTAAGCCTGAGAACCTTTCACTGAGAATGTTCTCGGCTTACTGAACAGATGCTTGTGCTTTATTTGCAACTTTTTCAGTTCAATTTGTGCCCATTTCCAAATTTACACTCATTTCTGATCAAGCCTGACTTTCATCTAGCGGGGACAAGTATTCCAGTCTGGGGTATTTTGTGCAATGTTCCATTGAGATGCTCTTCTTTTTGCTCAATTTGCCTGATTGAGCAAAATGAACAAAAATGGCAAATGTGAATGAAAATGGGGACCTAGTACTTCACATGAGATGAAACATTCAACAAGACAGAAACAGAAGGGGTCTCCTGGGTCATCTAGTCTGACCCCCGGCTCCAGTCGGCTCTGCCCATGACATGCCTACCATGTGGACGTCCAGCCTATCCCTGAACACCCTCACCCATGGGGCCTCAACCACCTCCCATGGAAGCCCATTCCACACCCTCGGGGTCCTGACTGTCAGGAAGTGCTTTCCGGCATCCAAATCGAACCTTGGTTCCCTGAGCTTGGCTCCATTGGAAGTGGAAGTGATACTTCTATCCGTGCAGCCTAAAATAGCATTTGTCCCCTTTGCAGCTGCATCACACTGCTGGCTCACATTCAGCTTGTGATCTACAACAATTCCAAGAATCTTCTCACTTGAAGGATGGCTGAGCTAGGTGTCCCCCATCTCGTCACCATGCATTTGGTTTCTTTTCTCTTGGAGCCGACCTGAGAATTTTCTCCTACTGAGTTGCCATGGTCTGCATTTAAATCCCTTTTCCTGGTGGCAGCCCCTCGAAAACAAAGCACACCTCTTGCTCACGGCTTCTGTCTCCTCCTCTTGCTCCTCCCCCACCTCACCTGCTTCTGGCCATCGCCACACCTTGCCTACCTGTAACCTGATGTGTTTGCCCCATCCTGAACTGGCCAAGAAATAAGATCCTAAGGGCCTCACGGTCTTGACTGCTCACAGGGATGTCTTGCTGACCAAGGATGGCATGTTGGCATGTAGCCATTTGAATCGGCTACCCAGCAGCCAGCGGAGGCAGCATATAGAAAGACGGCTGAATGAGAGGGAGAAAGCACAGGCAAACCGTTTTGGAAGGAGTTATGCATCTTCCAACTCTGCCCAGCACTAGAATCGAATGATCGTGGTTCCTTCCAAGATGCCACTCCACGCCTGCAGAGAACTGTAGCGAAGGTCCCAGAGGGCAGGGCTGGGTTAACGAAGGAGCTCGTCAGCTTAGAAGGCATCCCGAATGGCAGGGGAGAGGGAGCGGTTCGTGTTCCCAGACTCATCACCAAAGTTGGGGCCAAGATGGGGCTAGAGCCGTGACCTGGGGCTGTAGCTGTGAGATCGGCTGGGGAGGTAGAGGAGAACACTTTCTTCTTGGATGGGCTGGCTGGCTTCACTCCATCCCCATGGAAATGGGGCTGCAACCCCATGGCCTTGGAAGGTATTTGTCTCCTGTTCAATTCGGACCTGGTTGATTCCTTGATCCGGACGCTTTTCATTACTGCTATTACCCACCTGCCTGACCCTTAATTTTTCTGTACTACAATCTCCCCTCCCTCTCCTCTTGTCTTAATACCCTCACTTTTCCTGTGACAGGGTCTGGGTAAGTTGTGGGTCTAAATCTGGGGCCTTAGCTATAGGGGGCTGGGCTTAGTTGTTGGGTAGGTCTGGCCCAGCAAAGGTGGTTGGGGGGGGCTTTTTCTGGCCTTCCATTTCGTGGACATTGAACGGATGTCCCCACGGACATCCCCTCTCACTGATGACATCGACCTCTCATCGCTCATAACCATGATGAGCTAAGAGAATGTGCTTCAGAGCATTAAGGCACCTCTTCTGCCCCTCCCGGTACAGGGCAATTCTATGTCTGTGCCGGCATTGCGATGTCACACCCAGTGCGCTGATGGGAAACTTTTAGCACACACAAACGCAGGAACGGCTCTGTCAAATGAACGCTCCTTTATTTTCTGTTCTGGTTCTGATGCTTCTGCAATGGCCCAGCAGCCCCTTCATAGTTCCCCTTCAGTAACACATGCCAAAGATCAATCAGCAGATGCCAACTTAACTGTACTGCTGGCAGGAGACATTTTAATACCTTAAAGATACAGCCACAAAGAGCCGATGATGATTCAGAACGAGCGAGAGAGAGAGAGAGATTTTGATCTGTGTTTTTTTGGGAAATGAATTTCCATGCTGCCTTTATGCCCAATTCTCTGCTTGTTCGTTCCCCTTCTTTCCCACCCTCAAATGCATATTAACTGTTATCCTTGACCTTTTCAGCCCACAAAGATGAAAATCCAATTCCACATGGGAGGAAGAAAAAAGAAAAGGGGGGAAAGGGAAAAGAAAAGAACGAAAAGAAACACCGACAGCAATAAAAGCTTTGAAGAAAATGCCATGGACAAAGCCCATTTATTAATTAATTTATTTATTTTGGTGCAGCCCCTGCAAGATGCTGCAGGTTGGCCACACAGAGCTAGCTAGGAGGGGCTCTTTTGTGCTGCTTTTTAGCTGAAGAGGTTGGGAGGACGCAGACAGCTTGAGAGATCCATATCAAGCTTGCTGGGGGAAGGCATGGGGCAGCAGCAGGAGGGCTGGGGGACTTCTGGCTGGGGCTTCAGTAAAGCCTTGTGGGGCTGTGGATCATTCCTTTTCTTAGCCATGATTTGCTTTGTTCCCCTCGGCTTTGCTCTCAAGAACAATGGCTCAGGTTGGCTTCCAGTACCAAGGGAAGCGTGATAAAAGCAGTGACGAAACAAGTGCATCAGAACGTAATTTGAACCCCACAACTTTGAAGATGGCAGTCTTTGAAAGAAGGGCTTTTGCTGAAGATGGTAAGATCTGGGCAGGGTCCTTGGACCCAGTGATGAGGCAGAACAACCCTTCAAAGAAAGGACTGTCCTCCATAAAAGAAGATACATGGCTACCCTAGGGATGGACCTATGGCACACGCACAGAGTTCCGCGAAACCCTTGGACACACAGCCCTTGGACTGCTGAAGCTCCTGGGCAGAAGGCCTTGGAGACTCAGAGAAGCAGGGGGTGGATCATCTCTACCTGCAGAGAAGAGAAAACCTTCCTGCTTCCTGGAGCCCCGTTCCCATGACACTCTGGCAGGGCCGGGCCTTGGGGAACTCCTCCAAGGATGGTTCTTCCTTTGATTGGTCCTTTGATCCTGATTCACTTCTTGCTCCTGACAACAGGTTGGTGCTGTGCCTTCTGGTCCCTGGCACATGTCCCCCCAAGAAGGTTGCCTGGGACCCAGCCCTAGATGGCCAGACACTTCAGTAACAATCTTTCTCTGGGGCCCAGTCAACATGTAACACGTATATAGCAGATGCTGTTGAAATGAATGCACACTGCTCAGACAAATCAATTCATAGCTGCCTGTATTCAAACAGAAGATATATATGATACGGTGCAGCAGGAGGAACTCCGAATAAATCATGCATCACCATATGTTAGTACTGATATAATCAAGACGACATATCTCTGGTTAAAATGGTGTATTATTTTTTATCTCCATTGTTCCTTCCAAGTGTTCGGATGCGGCTGCTGCAGACGGTACAGCAATGCATGGTCACAGACGATTACGCACTCCGTGTTGTTTGCGTAATGACAGATCATCCACGCCTTCTCTTGGAAGATCGACATTTATTGATTTGTTTTATCGTCTTCAATTCATTTTAGCATCCATGGCATATTTGTACTTTATTTGCAAGGAGCGTAGGAGGAGCTGTGCTGGATTGGGCCATGGCTGGCCGAGTCCAGCATTCTCCTCGCAAAGGGCCAACGGGATGCCTGGGGGAACACCACAAGCCTTTGCACCCCCTTGCTTGTGTTTCCTAGCAATGCATACTGATGCCTGAATAAGAGAGTGCTGGACTGGGATGCTGGAGAGCTGGGTTCTAGACCGCACTCGGCCACGAAGTTCACTGAGTCACTCTGAGCCACTTGCTGTCTCTTAACCTAATCTTGCAGGGTTGTTGTGAAGGTGGGTCATGACCCTTTTCCCTCTGCAGTGTAGGGTAGGATGCGCTCCAACGGAGCCAAGCTCAGGGAACCAAGGTTCAATTTGGATGCCAGGAAGCACTTCCTGACAGTTAGGACCCCGAGGGTGTGGAATGGGCTTCCACGTGAGGTGCTTGAGGCCCCATCGGTGAGGGTGTTCAAAGGTAGGCTGGATATGCACATGGTGGGCATGTCATGAGCGGAGCTGGCTGGAGCTGGGGGTCAGACTAGATGGCCCAGGAGGACCCTTCTGACTCGCTCTGTTTCTATGTTTCTGAGATAATATGAAGAGCAGGAGGAGGAGAATGTAAACCACCCTGAGTTCCTGGAAGGGAAAAAGGATGCGATGCAAATATAATAAAGAAAAAGTATTTTCTCTGAGACTGGAAATACTGCTACCTGTTGAAGGAAATAAACCTCACAAAATAAACTTTCAGGCCTTTGGGGATGCCAACATTGTCTCTGACAAAGTTCTGGCTGCTGTGGATGCCCTTCCAAGCCACAGGCACTGACAACAGAGGCGGGAGACCTAATTAACATCTCTGATGGGGACCTTGAAAGAAGTCTGTCTGTGGCTGCTGATGGCTGGGCGTGACATCTGCTTCTGCAGAAAGTTTCTATCAAAATGCTCTGGGTGCATTATCATAAATTGCAACATCTGCCCACTGGCACAGCTGAGGCTGAGACCTCCGGCTTGGGCAGCATCTTCCTGGTTCCTGAATTTGGCTTTGTGAATGGTCGTGGGAAAGACTTTTCCAGGGAGCGGTTGGTCTCCCAGAGAGCCAGAGCCTGCATAGACTAGTGGTCACAAGGCAAGGGAGTGCCAGCCCGCCAGCCCTGTTGCTGCAGTAGCAACTGGGTGTTTTTGGACAGTATGAAGTGTGGTACACACGAAAGCCAGTGGATTCTGACAAACCAGGTTGCACAGATATGGAGGAACTAGATCAGCACCATGGAGAGCTCCAAGAGATGATGAGGCTGGAAGCCAGCTAAGGGTGCCCCTGCATTGCTCCAACAAGTGGCAGGTTGTGTTGAAGAGGCAACCCCTAACCCCCTTGAAAATGTCCCAGATGTTCAGTAACAAGGAGGTTTGCTGGACTATGCCAGGAGGAGATTGCATTGCTGAGTTCTCATTCAGTAAAAACGAAAACTTACTACACACAGAAAGCAAGCTTTGTTTCTATTTCCTGTAGAAAGCTAACCCAGAAGTGTGTCTTTCTGACATGCTAGTTTTTAAAGAGAGCTGTTGTTAGCATTTTACTAATAAAAAGATGGTGGCATTCAATTTGCAAAGACAATGCTACAGTCCTTCAAGGGCTGTGGTTTTGGTGATTGTGTAGAAAAATCAAAGGTGGTTTTGTGGGCCACAAGAACATAGCTTAATGCCCTTATTCAGTCCAACTAAAAGATCACAAAAACGGGCGAGGTTTGGAAATCACTCCATAAGGTGAGGTATTGCCAAACGTCCATTGCCCAGGATTATAAGGGGGCGGAAAAATCTTGACCTCTTAAAATTCTGGGAATGCAGACATCCTCACTATCAGCCAACCTGAGACTCTGCTTTTTAAAGTTTTTGCCCAGTGAAGACAGCTGGAGATCTTCAAAGCTCACCTATTTGCGATGGTGTCATCTAAGTCAAAGATAGGAATATGGTACTCTCTCTAGACTCTCCCTTTCCTCTTTTTGGAGTTTCATTGTGAGGATAGGAAAGAAAGAAAATTACAGTTATTAGAATCCGTATTTGTAATTTTCAACATCAGTTCTTTCTCTTTTGTATTATTAGCATCAAGAGGGAAGGCAACAAAAGCCACCGATTCAATATGCATAGCACTGGAAAACAATGGGGAAGAAGGGGCTTTAATAAGCACTCGGCGAGGCTGTAATTAAATCTCAGGTTGTGTTTGGAAAACAAGAATCTCATTTGCCGTGCTTGCCCTGCATGTCTCAACATCTGCATTGTGTTTTCTTCTGGGCAATTATGGAGCTTTCTGTGAATGGATTAGGAAGTACAGGTGTGGAGTGCAAAGAGATGCTTGAGGAAAGCTGGGGAGATGTGGGGGTGCCCCACAGGTGACTTCCACAAAGGTTCCTCCTTCATGGCCAATTACCTCTGAAGAGATGAAGGCTGCATCAGTGGTGGATAGGGATGGAAGCGAGTTTGGCCAAGGCCCAAGCCAAAATGGGTTCCTTGGGACCTTCCCTGGTGCTCTCCGAGGCGAAGGGGGCTTTCTCCAAAGTGATCAGAACCAAAGCTGGAGATGCAGCTTCAGGAACGCAGGCTATGGGTCTCCAAAACTCTTGCTTTTGTTCCTTGAAACCCTGATGAGGGGGTGGAAGAAGAGGGAAGAAATGGGGGCAAGTGACTGGCAGGACCTCTTTTTAACCAAGGCCATGTTCTACCAAGGGCTCTCCATTCACTCTGCTTTGGTGGGGGAAAAGGGTGGGACCATTCGATGGACATTCACCCAACCCTATCAGACTGGACTATAAATTTCAACGGGTTTTCCACCCAGTCTTCCTTGCTCATGCGCCTTCCTCGAAGAACGTTGCCATGTCCCATTTTCCACACATATTCTCTTTTGCCTCCAACCTGATACACAAGAGCGACCCCTGACCCCTGGCTCCTGGCTCACCCAGTCTTTTCGGAGCGGGGAAACCTGCCCCCCCCCCCATTCTGCGCAATGCACATGCCTCATTTCAACGTGCTTCTGTCCTGGATTCTCATCCACTGGGCAGACATTTGTCCCTGGAACTGGTGAACATCCTGGGAGGTTGCGTTCTCTTGGGCAGCACCCAAAAGCAAACCTGTGGAGCCTTCCCTGGAGTCTCTGTGCTCTTCATTCAGCGCACAATGAGGCCATCAGCTCACCCAGCCCCTTATTGGCATGGCTAACAGACAGCGGCGCTCTGGGGGCTTCAGGCAGGTCTTTCCCCGGCCCGCCCCATTTCCTGCCTGGGGTGCAAGATTGCAATCAAGACCCACGCTGTCACTTCCTCTGGTGCTTTGCAAGAACAATAGACAAGAGAAAATGAAGCGAGATGAAAACAAAGGTTGAGACGAATGTCTGAGATGCTGCATTACCATTTTTGGCTGTTCCTCCTTCCTCTCGGGAGTTTTAAAAATCTCTGCAAAGGCTGTGGGGAAAATCTGTTTACACACAAATATGTGCATTTGAGAGTGGAATCTGTTCTGAATCACAGACTCAGAGAAAAGTAGAGTTGGAAGAGGCCAGGGGGACAGCAGGTGCAGCCCCCTGCTCAGTGCAGGACTCCCAGCTAAGCCACCCCTCAGAGGGCTGCCCAGTTGAATGCCTCCAGTGTGGAGGAGCCCACCACCTCCCTGTGTCATGGATTTCATTACTGTACTGCCTAACAGTTAGGAA